TACCTAAAATCATTCTCTGTGTATGTAAGCATGTATGTGTATAATTTATGTGTTAATTAACTTATTTACAGACATAATACTCCCTGACAACTAATGTAAAAGTATTACGTGTTCAGTAATTAGGGCCTGGTTGTAAGGCAGTAAAATCAATTTAATAAGCAGCTTATACTGTAACTGCAATGCTGAATATAGAGGACCAGTGTCCAGTCATATCAGTTATTATACAGTCACCAGAGTTCACATTGAAAAACATGGGAAGGTCTGGGCTTTACAAGGCTTTACAAGCTCTAGGTAAAGAATCTCGTTACAGTTTGAAGCTGTTGATTTAGGCAACTGGCAGAGGGATTAACACAAGAATGGCTGGGGTGGGAAGGAGATGAAGTGTTTGCATAGACTGGCTTGGCTGGGTGGCAGGCTCTTTCATAGGGTGTATCACCAATGACTGAGACTAGTACTCTTTAACTCCTTATGGTTAGTGCACTTAAATGAAGAGATGTGTACCACACGTGCAGAAATGAAGAGATGTGTATCACACATGCAGAAAGGGAAGAGATGTGTACCACACGTGCAGAAATTAAGAGATGTGTACCACACGTGCAGAAAGGAAGAGATGTGTACCACACGTGCAGAAATTAAGAGATGTGTACCACACGTGCAGAAAGGAAGAGATGTGTACCACACGTGCAGAAAGGAAGAGATGTGTACCACACGTGCAGAAAGGAAGAGATGTGTACCACACGTGCAGAAATTAAGAGATGTGTACCACACGTGCAGAAAGGAAGAGATGTGTACCACACGTGCAGAAATTAAGAGATGTGTACCACACGTGCAGGAGGAACCCCACTGCTTACACTCTATCAGGCAGTTCAATGGACACAATGACACTCCTTTGTGCCCTTTGAACTATAATGTACCACCAGCTTGCTGTATGTGTGTACATGTGGTCAGCAGTGAACAGAAAGCTTGGTGGGGCTATGACCAATTGGGTATCAAAGATGAGGAGTGTTGTCGGCAATCATCTATGAGTGCCCAAACCAGCTATTCACCCATTTCCATGATCATTTGTTTGTCTATTAGTTCTTCATTTGCAGAGATAGAAATCTTTAAATGGAATTTTAGGCTGATTTCAATTGAAATGTTCCCTTACCAAAAATCCAATTTTAGACTTTTTCGTGCTTGTTTGCCATATTTTCCAGGAACACAATCAACGGTTTGTACTTTGTTTGTACAGTTTGTATGTTGTGAACAACATAAAGACAATATTCACATTTCTCTTTGTCAAGAAAGTTTCTTTCAGTTGGAATCCCTTGGAAACAAACAACACGTTCATATTAATACACCCCCAACTAGTCCTCTCTACTGCAGAAATACCTTGGATATAATATTCATACATGAATGTTAGATTTCTGGATTAGTTTGTATATTTTTTTCATGCATCCTCTCCATTGTGACAATAATCTCACTGCTCCTCTCCAGTTACTTGATGAGGCTGTATTTTAGTAAGTATCACTGAAGATGACCAGTTGCGACCTCTTTAATGCAAATGGTTTTCCTTCCTTTAGGGCCAGTTCACACTATAGAAACACAGTCCAGATGCGTTCTGGATACATTTCTGCATGACACGTTTTCGGCGCATTCCGGTTCGTTTTTGATGCATTCCAGTATGTTTTTGATGCTCTCGGTTTCATGTTTTCCCCTCTCTTTTTCTTCAATTGAAATAGGGACGTGTGTTCCAGTACGTTTTTGGTGCATTCCACTGCTGTGTGTTTTTTATGCGTTTTACCGTGTTCCAGTACAGTTTTGTGCAGGAAAAATGCAGCCTGTTTTACTTTTTTTTCTGCAACTGGAACACACTGGAACTGCAAGCACTGATGTGAACTATGACCTTGACAACCATATAATCTACCTTCTGTGCATTTTGGATGCAGAAAAAAAGCACTCTGAAATGCATGTAGTGTGAACTGGCCCTTAAAGTGTTAGTATACCTTTTTAGAAAAATAAAAAGGTAAACCAACACCATACAGCCTCCTCACCCTCCCTGTCCCCACTGTACTTACCTTCAGGGATGCTGAGCTGTCAGTGCCCATGTAGCTGGTGCAGCAATTCAGGGATATGAAATCCCCACTTTTCTCCCTCTTTTCTGTGCAGTGCCTCCAGGACAGGCCAGAGCAAGTCACTGTGCATACACTGACCAATCAGAATCGCTCTGGTCTGTCCCAGAAGCAGTGCACAGAGAAAAGGGAGAAGAGCGGGGATTTCAACTTCCCAGACTGGCTTTGTGGACAATGACAGCTCAGCATCTCTGGAGTAAAGAGGGGATCAGGATGGGAGGGGATCAGGATGGGGGGTGGTAGTAGTTCACCTTTTAATTTTTTTTTTTTACAAGGTTTACTAACACTTCAAATCTTAACTCCAGTTAATGGGAGTTCAGATAACTAATTGCATACATGCCAGCTTGGACCAAAGTAAGTATGAATATCTTATACCTGAGAGACTGCTATGGAAGCTGACAATCACAGTACTACTGTACTGCACACTGACCACAGGGGGTCACTTGCTCAGCACTGCAGCAATTCAAAAAGGAATTGTTCTTATTTAGTTCTCATTAAAGTGTACCTAAATCCAAAATGTAGTCTATTTTGCTGAAATTTCATTGCAGCAACTCAAAATGATACTCAGTGGTTTGTATGGCCCTCACGTGCTTGTATGCATGCCTGACAATGTCGGGGCATGCTCCTAATGAGACGGATGGTGTATATATGGATATCCCAGAGGTGTTCTATTAGATTTAGGTCAGGAGAGCATGGGGGCCATTCAATGGTATTGTCAGGGCTCCCAGGTATGACCAGAGGTGTGTGACTGATGCAGGGAAACGCAGACTTCAGATATGTGATAAACAATACAATTTATTAACACTAACCATACAAACATAAACGCAGTGCAATACTAAACATAATACAGTGCAAACAAACCCAACCAATCACCCACAGATAACAGTACATACAAGCAAGCGTCGTCAGGCAGGCCGGGTCAATATCAATTGGGCAGGTAGGTACAGGGGGAGCAAGCAGAGAATGGTCGGGGTCACAGGCCAGGTTCAGCAGGTAGCAAGCAGCGTAGTACAGAGGGTCAGGCAGAGGGATGGTCAGGGTCACAAGCCAGGGATCAAAACAGGTAACAAGCAGCGTAGTACAGAGGGCCAGGCAGAGGGACAGAAACAGGATGCAGGACAGATACAGGGCCCAGGACAAACACAACACCAAGGCAGAGTCTGTGGGTCTGGCCATCCCTTAAATACCCCAGCATCATCAGTTCCAGGTGTTAGCTGGCTGAAAGGTTGAGTCTCTGATTGCTGGGAGCACCCGCTGGCCAGCCCTGGTACTGCAGATCAAAAGGCAGGTGAGTCCCACCATTGCTGGCCAGTCCATTCCTGACAGTACCCCCCCCCCCCCCCCAAGGAGCGGCCTCAGGACGCTCCAAACAGTCCTAGCTGGGCAAAATGTTCCACCGCCCGGGTCTGGTAACTGGCGGGATATCAAAGACTGGCACACCGGGCAGGACTCCGGGCAGCGGCACACCGGGCTGGACTCCGGGCAGAGGCACACCGGGCTGGACTCCGGGCAGAGGCACACCGGGCTGGACTCCGGGCAGAGGCACACCGGGCTGGACTCCGGGCAGAGGCACACCGGGCTGGACTCCGGGCAGAGGCACACCGGGCTGGACTCCGGGCAGAGGCACACACCGGCTGGACTCCGGGCAGAGGCACATCGGGCTGGACTCCGGGCAGAGGCACACCGGGCAGAGGCACACCGGGCAGAGGCACATCGGGCAGAGGCACATCGGGCAGAGGCACATCGGGCAGGACTCCGGGCAGAGGCACATCGGGCAGGACTCCGGGCAGAGGCACACCGGGCAGAGGCACATCGGGCAGGACTCCGGGCAGAGGCACATCGGATTACCAGGCGAAGCAGCAGGCAGCGGGCCACCAGGCGGAGCAGCAGGCACCGGGCCCCCGGGCGGAGCAGCAGGCATCGGGCCCCCGGGCGGGCGCCAGGCACCGGGCCCCCGGGCGGAGCAGCAGGCACCGGGCCCCCGGGCGCGGAGCAGCAGGCACCGGGCCCCCGGGCGGAGCAGCAGGCACCGGGCCCCCGGGCGGAGCAGCAGGCACCGGCCCCCGGGTGGGCACCGGGGGGCCCCCGGGTGGGGGCGACCGCGTCGGGCCCCCAGGCGGGGCGGCGGGCGCCGGGCCCCCAGGCGGGGCGGCGGGCGCCGGGCCCCCAGGCGGGGCGGCGGGCGCCGGGCCCCCAGGCGGGGCGACGGGCATCGTGCCCCCAGGCGGGGCGACAGGCATCGTGCCCCCAGGCGGGGCGACAGGCATCGTGCCCCCAGGTGGGGCGACAGGCGCGCCGGGCCCCCAGGCGGAGCGACAGGTCTCGGGCCCTCAGGCGGAGCGGCGGGCGCCGGACCCCCAGGAGGAGCGACAGGTCTCGGGCCCTCAGGCGGAGCGGCGGGCGCCGGACCCCCAGGTGGAGCGACAGGTCTCGGGCCCTCAGGCGGAGCGGCGGGCGCCGGACCCCCAGGTGGAGCGACAGGTCTCGGGCCCTCAGGCGGAGCGGCGGCGGGCGCCGGACCCCCAGGCGGAGCGACAGGTCTTTGGGCCCTCAGGCGGAGCGGCGGGCGCCGGACCCCCAGGTGGAGCGACAGGTCTCGGGCCCTCAGGCGGAGCGGCGGGCGCCGGACCCCCAGGCGGAGCGACAGGTCTTGGGCCCTCAGGCGGAGCGGCGGGCGCCGGACCCCCAGGCGGAGAGCGACAGGTCTCGGGCCCTCAGGCGGAGAGGCGGGCGCCGGACCCCCAGGAGGAGCGACAGGTCTCGGGCCCTTAGGCGGAGCGGCGGGCGCCGGACCCCCAGGCGGAGCGACAGGTCTCGGACCCTCAGGCGGAGTGGCGGGCGCCGGACCCCCAGGCGGAGCGACAGGTCTCGGGCCCTTAGGCGGAACGACAGGTCTCTGGCCCCCAGGCGGGGCGGCGGGCACCGAGTCACCAGGCACAACCGTGGGCTCCGAGTCAACTGGGATGACCGCTGGCACTGGGTCAGACATTGGATCGCCTGGCTGGACAGCGGGCATCGGGTCACCAGGCATCAGGTCATTTGGCTCGACAGCGGGCACCGCGTCATCTGGCAAGGCAGTGGGCTCCGAGTCAACTGGTATGACCGCGGGCACTGGGTCAGACATTGGATCGTCTGACTGGACAGCGGGCACTGGGTCACCAGGCATCAGGTCATTTGGCTCGACAGCGGGCACCGCGTCATCTGGCAAGGCAGTGGGCTCCGAGTCAACAGGCACGACAGTGAGCACCGGGTCATCAGGTACCGGATTGTCTGGCTCGACAGCGGGCATCGGGTCACCAGGTATGACAGCAGGCACTGGGTCACCAGGCATCAGGTCATTTGGCTCGACAGCGGGCACCGGATCAGGTACCGGATCATCTGGATCAACAGCGGGCATCGAGTCAACTGGCCTAATAGGATCGTCAGGCTGGATCAGTTCATCATGCTGGGTAGAGGCATCAGGCTGAATGCCGGCGTCCGGCTGAGTAGAGGCATCAGGCCGAGTAGAGGCATCAGGCCGAGTAGAGGCATCAGGCCGAGTAGAGGCTTCAGGCCGAGTAGAGGCTTCAGGCCGAGTAGAGGCATCAGGCCGAGTAGAGGCATCAGGCCGAGTAGAGGCTTCAGGCTGAACCACGGAAGGCAGGCTCACCGTTTTGGATACTGGCAGGATGGTATTGGTTGGAAAGAATTTTCGCTTTTTTCTGGTTTTAAACTACTGGAGCACTGCAAGTAAACGCAGGTCTGCAAACGAATGGAGCAGCTGGAGACAGAGAAGAACTGGAGGATGGAACAGGAGAGGGAGCAGTTGCTACAGAGGGCTCTTTTACAGGGTTAAAGGCAGGATAGGTGCAGCGAGTGGGAACAGGGTACTGACATGCGGTAGATAGCAGGGCAGGAGGAGCTGTTGGGAATGCAGGAATAGAGTTTTGAGGAAATAGATTAGAAGCAGGACTGGGTCTTTGTAAGCTGACTGAGGCTGGGTGCAACAAATCTGTCCAGGTCTGCAGTATGGGTTGAACAAAGCTGAGCTTACACAAAGCCTGTCTGGTCAATGACTGTACTGCGTTTATACAATCTCTTAGTGTCTGTGGTGAACATGTGGAATAACGCTCCAGAAAGTAACCCACATCATCCTCTAATAACCACACCAGGGACTCTACCTGGTCTGCACTAAATGGTGGCAAAAATTCATCCCTGCATTCGGGGTACCAGATGAAACCAACTCAGCACAAACCTCAATCAATGGCTGCACCTCAGAGAACTCTGTGCCCTGATCTACTAGAACATGAGCGAGCCGTATACATTCTAGCAGTTCATCCCGGGTATACTCCTTCAGAGTTTGATAAGCATACTCCCTGTCATCAAACACTAGCAGATATAAATATTCAACCTCATCAAGATCCATCCTTCCCATCAACAAGCCAAGATGGCTTCCTGTGCAGCCACTTCTGGTCAGGATTGGCCTTGGTGTAATGTCAGGGCTCCCAGGTATGACCAGAGGTGTGTGACTGATGCAGGGAAACGCAGACTTCAGATATGTGATAAACAATACAATTTATTAACACTAACCATACAAACATAAACGCAGTGCAATACTAAACATAATACAGTGCAAACAAACCCAACCAATCACCCACAGATAACAGTACTTGGTACGTCGTCAGGCAGGCCGGGTCAATATCAATTGGGCAGGTAGGTACAGGGGGAGCAAGCAGAGAATGGTCGGGGTCACAGGCCAGGTTCAGCAGGTAGCAAGCAGCGTAGTACAGAGGGTCAGGCAGAGGGATGGTCAGGGTCACAAGCCAGGGATCAAAACAGGTAACAAGCAGCGTAGTACAGAGGGTCAGGCAGAGGGACAGAAACAGGATGCAGGACAGATACAGGGCCCAGGACAAACACAACACCAAGGCAGAGTCTGTGGGTCTGGCCATCCCTTAAATACCCCCAGCATCATCAGTTCCAGGTGTTAGCTGGCTGAAAGGTTGAGTCTCTGATTGCTGGGAGCACCCGCTGGCCAGCCCTGGTACTGCAGATCAAAAGGCAGGTGAGTCCCACCATTGCTGGCCAGTCCATTCCTGACAGGTATCAATTCCTTCATCATCCAGGTACTACATGAGGCCGGGCATTGTCATGCACCAGGAGTAGCCCAGGACCACTGCACCAGCGTAGGGTCTTACAATGGGTCCAAGGATTTCATCCCGAAACCTAATGGCAGCTAGGGTGCCTTTGTCTAGTCTGTAGAGGTCTGTGCTTTTCTTCCATGGATATGCCTTTCCAGACCATCACTGACCCACCACCAAAACAGTCATGCTGAATGATGTTACAGGCAGCATAACATTCTCCACAGCTTCTATAGACCCTTTCACGTCTGTTTTACATGTGCTCAGGGTGAACCTGCTCTCATCTGTGAAAAAGCACACAGGGCGCCAGTGGCAGACCTGACAATTCTGGTGTTCAATGGCAAGTGCCAATCGAGCTCTATGGTGCCGGGCAGTGAACACAGGGCCCACTAGAGGACGTCAAGCCCTCAGGCCACCCTCATGAAGTCTGTTTCTGATTGTTTAGTCAGAGACATTCACATCAGTGGCCTGCTGGAGGTCATTTTGTAAGGGCTCATCCTGTTCCTCCTTGCACAAAGGAGCAGATACCGCTCCTTCTGATGGGTTAAGGACCTTCTACAGCCCTGTCCAGCTCTTGTAGAGTAACTGCCTGTCTCCTGGAATCTCCTCCATGCTCTTGAGACTGTGCTGGGAGACACAGCAAACCTTCTGGCAATGGCACGTATTGATGTGTCATCCTGGAGGAGTTGGACTGCCTGTTGCAACCTCTGTAGGGTCCAGGTATCACCTCATGCTACCAGTAGTGACACTGACCCTAGCCAAATGCAAAACTAGTGAAAAACAGTCAGACTTGATGCTATACTCTGATTAAAAAGTGTTTAATTTATTTGAGCAGTGTTTGTGTATATATATATATACAGTGGGGATCGAAAGTTTGGGCACCCCAGCTAAAAATTTGTATTAATGTGCATAAAGAAGCCAAGGAAAGATGGAAAAATCTCCAAAAGGCATCAAATTACAGATTAGACATTCTTATAATATGTCAACAAAAGTTTAGATTTTATTTCCATCATTTACACTTTCAAAATAACAGAAAACAAAAAAATGGCGTCTGCAAAAGTTTGGGCACCCTGCAGAATTTATAGCATGCACTGCCCCCTTTGCAAAGCTTAGACCTGCCAGTGTCAAGGATTGTTCTCAATCATCGTCTGGGAAGACCAGGTGATGTCAATCTCAAAGGTTTTTAAATGCCCAGACTCATCTGACCTTGCCCCAACAATCAGCACCATGGGTTCTTCTAAGCAGTTGTTAGAAAACTGAAACTGAAAATAGTTGACGCTCACAAAGCTGGAGAAGGCTATAAGAAAGATAGCAAAGCGTTATCAGATGTCCAAATATCCTCTGTTCGAATGTAATTAAGAAAGGCAGTCATCATGAACAGTGAAGTTTAAAGCAAGATCTGGAAACCAAGAAAAATATCCGACCGAAACAGCTCGTTCAGGATTGTGAAAAAACAATTTCAAAACCCACAATTAACTGCACGATCCGCTCCAGAAAGATCTGGCAGACACTGGAGTTGTGGTACACTAACCACTATAAAGAGATACTTGTACAAATATGGTCTTCATGAAAGCTCAATCAGAAGAAAACCTCTTCTACGCCCCTCACCACAAAAATCATCTGTTTGAACATTATGCAAAAGAACATATAGACAAGCCTGAGCATTATGGAAACAAGTATCGTGGACCGATGCCGGTGTAAAATTGAACTTTCAGGCCGAATGACAAGAGTACTTTAGGAGAAGAAGGGGCACAGAATTGAATGCAAAAAACCTCTGTCCAACTGTTACATGGGGTTGGATAAAATCATGCTTTGGGGTTGTGTTGCACCCAGGGGCACGGGGAAACCCATAGTAGAAGGAAAAATGGTTTCAATAAAATTTCGAAAATTTTTGGAGGGAACTTTTAGCCACTGTGAAAAAACGAAGTTTAAAAAGAGGAGGGTTTACAAATGGATAATGATCCAAAACCCTCGAAATCCACGGGGATTCATCAAGAGGCGTAAAAGAAGTTTTGCCGGGCCCCCACAATCTCCTGACCCAACAAATTTAAAAAACTATGGATGGACCCTTTAAAAAAGCAGTGCGGACAGAAGCCCCAAAACCAAAAAACTGGAAACTTTTGAAGGAAAAAGGGCAAAAAATACCCCAAACAAGAATTGAAAAACTCTTGGCTGGCTACAAAAAGCTTTACAAGCTGTGATACTTTGCCAAAGGGGGGGATAAAGATTTAACTTCAGGGTCCCAAAACTTTTGCAGAGCCATTTTTTTTGTTTTTGTTATTTTGAAAGTGTAAATGATGGAAATAAAAACAACTTTGTTGACTATTATAAGAAAGTCCCAATCGTAAAATTTATGCTTTTGGAGATTTTTCCATTTTCCCCTTGGGTTCTTTTGCACATTAATACAAATTTTTACTGGGGTGCCCAAAAATTTCGATCCCCATGTAAAATTAAAATGCATAAACAAGCATAATCAAATGATGTATAGGTATGAAAAATTTCTTGATGGTCAATGGCACCCCCCCAAAAAATCCCTCAATGCACTTTTAACCTGCAATGTTTGAACTGCAAAGTATTGTTGTAGGCAATGCAATTTAACCCTTGCCTATGGGCAAATTTTTTACCCCCCTTCCGCCCAGGGCAATTTTCGGCACTGTGCATTTGCATGACTATTGCGTGGGGATGCAACACTGTAAACCAACAACGTTTGCATGCTTTTTTTTAGACTATAGAGACATTTATTTTTTGCTAACAAAAAAAAAAAACCCAAAAATTTTGAGGA